CCCCAAAACCCCAAAACCCCGTGGATTAAAATCCATCTAAAATGAAGACGAATTAATATAGAAAATCATTATTTTTTAGTATCCTTCCAGTTAATAGTATCTTTCAAAAGCAGACCCCATCTATCAGCATAGACATGAATCACATTACTCTCATAACCAATAGCATACAATAATTTATCGCTCCCTAATAATGGTTGCCTTTGATAGAAAGAATCATTTTTGGAGAGCTATGTGTCTATTGACTCCTTTACCTCCATAGCTATAACATCTAATTCGAAACTAGTACTCGTCATTACAGATCCAGAGAATCCTCCAAAGATTATTATTTTGGTCTCTCCTATCTAATTAGATCCACAAAAATATCTACCCTCCCAGACTGAATTAGTGCTTAGTTCAAGCACCTGCCATTTACTATCATTCTAAAAGCTATCATATTTTTCAATCTGAGTTATAAGTCCATTTTTATTTATACCTCCTATCACATATACAAATCTTTTATTAAACTGGCAAGCAGAGCAATAGTATCTACCATAATTAAGTGAAGCTATTTTAGTCCAAGTATCGTTTTAAATATCATAAGTCTCGCAAGTTGAACTCTGCTTATTTATCCTACTTCCTAAAGCGAATATAAACTTTGCATTCAGACACACTAAAGAGTGACTCTCCCTTCCTGTAATCATATTTGCTTTTCTTTTAAGGCTAAGATTTGCTTGTTAGTTATTTGATTTGATCCCATCTTCCATCATTTCCTCATCTATTCCTTGATTACTTAGACCCATCAACTCATAGCAACTGTTAAGTGATTCTGTGTCATTCTTACTGCCTCCTGCTATGAATATCCTCCCAGACTTAGTTTGGACAGAAGCGAAATTTACTGGTATTTTGAAATCTATGTTGATAAGCATTTTTTACTTCAGATGAAAATCTGTATGGTATAGATAAAGTTTCTTAGAATTGGGCTTGAAATAATACAGTCTGTTAATTTGAGGCTCTTAAAAGAAAAATAGCACATCCAGTTTCTTACTTTACTCAAAGTCAATATTACATTTAATTCTATCCTTTAGGAACGACTACATAGAGTCATAATTTATTTCTACTTCAATTAGCTTAAAAGTTTCTTTGACAATTGATTTAAGAGTCTTTTCTCTGTCATCCCATTCCTTTTTTATCTAAGCTTGCTGGTTCTACATGTCTTTAAGAATCCTACTTCCATCTAGAGTTTAGAAAGTCATATCTTAAAATTTGCCCAAACTATCTAATTTGACTCCATTTAAAGAGCTGCTTTGTATCTTTAAATCCAATTATTCCATAGTGTCCATCTGTTTCCTGTATTAAACTTAGATTTCTCATATACTTTTATGCATTTCTCTGAAATTTTACTCTGTAATCAACTTAAAATGCTGACTCAAACGCTGCAGATCAACTTAAAGATGAAATAAAGAGTAGTTTTAATGCACCGATTCGAAAAGCTCATCGAAGAATTTATCTAATTCTCTATGTATATTCTCTTTCTTCTTCATCATTAACTTTCTTAAATAAATCTTGTAAGTCTCTATACTTCATTTATTATGAAGATCAGCTCAAAGTGACTTTTGAAGAAAAACATCATGATTCTTGTGATATTACTGCTCTATCCACTCAGTAAAGTCTACCTTGTTTATGCTATTAATGGGAACTGAATGATGAAAGAAGTGAAATTCTTCTAAGCACTCAGAGCATACTGTTTGCTTGCACTGAAGACAATAAAAATTTAGGATTTAGCTTGAATGAGTTGGGCAGTTTTTCTGTTTATCCATGAATACAGTTTATAATTTATTTAAATATTTTAAGTATTCAGAAACTGATTATTCAAAGATTTTACTAGTATGGGGTTTTGGGGTTTTGGGGAGATCGGAA